TGTCTAAATTCAGTTAAACTAGCAATTCCGTATTATATTTATAAATCTTTATAACATTATACAAAAATTAGATTTTTCTTAAAAATTGAAATTTTGCCGGGAATGGGGCTTTAATTTTTTTCTTGGTTCCTAGGCCTTTATCCAGCTTTTATCTACTTTGTTTATTCCATATTAAGTAGAACGTTTAGGATGCGCATCTTGTTACGCGCCTTTGTTCTTTACCGTTGATTCGATGTTCTGTTTTCGTTTCGTGTGTAAATATTGCTTTACTTTGTATTTTTTGTCAGTTGTCCTCACACTGAGGAAGAACACAGGAGTGTTTGAAATATTTGTGAATTAATAAATTATATTGAATAAGTGATCTTTAAAATAATTTCGGTAATTTTCCGTTTACATAAAATTATATATCAGTTATTACATACCTGTCTCTATATTATATTGATGATGTTAGAAAACCTTTTAAGGATTCTCTAAACCGACGAAATTAAATTACTATTATTATGGTAATAATAATAATGATAATAATAGTAATAGTGTGATATAATAATAATAATAATAATAATAATAATAATAATAATAATAATAATAATAATAATAATAATGACATTTATTGTTATTTTATTTTATTTTATTTTTATTTTTGTATCCAACAGCGGGGAACCCGCAACTTACAGAATGGAAACAAAAAGCAGTCCAGATAAGGAAAACGACAAATACAAAACAATAAAATGCTCTTAACATTATTAATGTCAAAATATTTAAAGGCACCACGATGGCGTGCATTTCACTACTTGGAGTATGGATTATAATTTCTTTACAAGATACATAATTTAATTTTACTTTTCAAATTTTGATCTCAAAAGAATTAAAATAACTATAAATAGGCAGATCTTAACGATAAAATAATTATATATCTTCAGTTAACATAACGATGAAACTATATTTTGAAGCATCTTCTTCATTCTAATTATTATTATTTTAAATATTTTCATTACTAAAATGTTTATACAAACCAGTTACATATTGTTGTCCTAGGACTTACCAAATCTAGGAAGAGAGGAACCCATGACATGATCTACTTCTCGGTGTTGTCCATTAGTATACATTTTAAAATACACTGCAAAAGGTAGACATTCAGGTAGGCCCTGCTTTTAAACACGTATCGGACATGACAGATAGTGACTATTTTATGTTGGTATATTGAGGAATATCATTAATAACTTTGTCAGATTTCTGTCCCATACTTTTCAAAGGGATTTCATAAGGCTCCTTTTTGTTTTTGGTAACTCCAATCTTTTCTTCCTCATGTCCACTGGTCTGTTGAATTGTACAATCATACGTGTCTTGAGTCTTTGTTCGGATGACCTCATATTGATCCTCATGCTGTATGGCGATGGGGGTATAGTTATTCGGTTGTTCAGTTGCTTCTTCAACTACTCGGGTTTTTGTTGCCAGATTATCATCCTGGACTTCACATTTATGTGTATTGTTCCCATTTGAGTGGTTGCATCTGGAATAGTTTATCAGTTGTATTAGATCTATTTCTTTCAAATGATTTTTTTTAAAAGATTAATTGGTTGGTTGGTTGTCGGTCGATCATCGGTCGGTCGGTAGGTGATGCATAGATGAATAAAGGAATGAATAATATATGACAGGCGGAATGACGGACGGACGAACAAATAAATGAATGAACGAATAAATGTGAGTGAATATACAAAAGAACAAACAAACAAAATAGCCAAAAATATATTAAATAAGTGGAATGAATGTTAAATGAAATAGATGTTCAAGCAAGTTCGTATACACATAATATTAAAATTGGCAACCATATCATAAATATCAACAACTTCAGACACACAGACAATGTAACCTTTTTACATTGTGAGGAACTCTATAGTACTTAAATCTCTTCCCAATAACTTTTTCTTTGACCAGGATTTCTAAATTCTACATTTTACTTACCTTATATATTTATTAATTAGTGTATCTACATTGTTTAACTGTAACATAATACTTATTGTTGCTTATTAATATACCGTTAAGTTTATATGAATTACCTGTTTTTATTTTTTTATTTTTTATTTATTTTTTGTTGTTTTTTTCTTTATAAATAAGTGATCTTTAAAATAATTTCGGTAATTTTCCGTTTACATAAAATTATATATCAGTTATTACATACTAAGAGCAAATTTAAATTTTTGAATTATGATAGGCTATTTATGCTAATTATTGTATTGTATTTAAATGTTTTTTTTATGTTCATATTTATTAATGGCTGAATCTCAATGAGTTATAGTAAAATTTTGCTTAAGCTGCCCCTGACCAGAATTTTTGTTGTATTGTACCTTTTGTAAATGTGTATTGGTCTAATAAATAAATGAAATGAAATTTGATATTAAAAGTATATTATTCCTTTTATTAGCTTATCATGAATAATTATTGTCCTAACATTTGTACATTAAACATTGGAAAAGAAGAAAACATAAATAAATGAATAAATATTAAAATTATACAGAAAAAGCCCACAAAATCAAACAATTACCCACAATCGACCAAAAATAAATCGAACGAATAGATAAATAAAAACCTGTAGAGGAAAATGGAGAAACATCATGTTAAACGGCTAGATTTATAAATATATGCGTTTCCTCTGAATAATAAATACCTAATTTTTACAATAATTAAAACTATACCTGTAGCATAGGCAAAACACCAAGGAATTCAGGAAGATGATGATGGAAAGAACAACCACTAATGCAATCATAAATCTGGGGATTGATGTTCCTATAAAACATAATATGTTATTAATAATGCTAATAATAATAATAATAATAATAATAATAATAATAATTTACTATTATTAATATTATTATTATTATTATTATTATTATTATGGTAATCATGAAAATGATGATAGTAAGAACAATAGCATTAAAAATAATAATAGAGCTGAGAATGATAATAATCATGACAAATAATAGACGTCATTATTTAATCTTACATATATTTTTTTTCTATCCCCAGCATTCATTAGTTGTTAAAATTTGTATGTTTTGCAGTTCGAGTGAAAAAACTTAAAGAAACTTGCTTATTATTGTCATAATAATGACACCGCGGAGTATAATTATGTCTTATGTCCAAAAGCCTTCTCTAAGACGTTGATGTAGGAGCCTTAGAATCGGACTAGCCGTAGAAAGGCCTAGGCTAGAAAAGCTTAGAATATTGAATATGTATCGATTTTGTATTAATATCACAAGATTACCTCATGATGTCAATTATAATTGACCCCAGGCACTTTATTTGGTCAGGAAATAATGAAAGGAGTCTAAACTTGATAAGAGTTTGTTTCAACCTCTTAGTTGTCTGTGGAAATTCTATTTTAGAGATTTTTTGAAAATTCTTTGAAATGCTCAGTTTGTATCAAGCTTGTGGTAAGGTTTTATAACAAAATTATACAGGGAATGGAATGATCTGTCACACCCCTAAGCTCGATAGACAAAAATAGAACAAAACTGAATGCAACTACCTGTACTCTGTATGCAACTACTATGCTCAGCAGTGAAAAATGGGCTCCAGTTCCCCACACCAGCCCTATTGACTACTCTAGCCTGTTGGTATAAAAATATGACTTATCTATTTATATATTATGTGATATATATTCCCTATTTATCCATCATTTAACAACCAACTGAAAGAAAAGTTTGAATATTGTAATGCGATTATTTAAAGTTAATTATTCAAGATTAATTTTAATCGTACCTCACAAGTAAAACATCTAAAATTGCTATGACTCGGTTAGGCCTAAATAAAAAATAGCTTTGTAATTTAGACCTAAATGCCATATAGATGAATTACTTACAATAACTTTATACTTTGCATCTTCGACCACACTTGATATTTTGTAGCCGTGGATCCCTTGGTCTGCTGTAAGCTTTTGATTCTTCCACTCTTCGCTATTTCTTGATCTGTATCTCACATCAAAACTAATTATATTCCCATAAAAATTTCTGCTGAATGACTCAGATGGGTACACAGAAACGTTGAGGAATGAACCACCATGTGTTGCAGTGACTCCTGGAACTGGAGGTACTGGAAAATTAAACAGTGACAATTATTATATTATAAATTTCATGCTGAAGCGTATATTTGAACTTTGAAATAATCATGTACTTTGTGAAACCATAGGGATTATTACGGCAGGGGCACAGCAACCTACAGAGTTAATATTATTGGCCCAGGTTCTAGCGGAACGGCACATTTGCATATAATTCTGGAGGTGGAAGAAGTCTTTTCGGATAACGGACTATAAACCGTACACATTGGCTCATGTGCACTATAAAAAACCCAGTACACCTTTCGAGACGAGTAGAGGGTTACACATTGCCTTGTTGGCCTGTGCATGATGGCACAATGATCCTTAAGGGAGAAGTAAGTTGTAGGGATGAGTATTCCGCATTCATCTCAGACACAAGCCCTTAACTTTGAAGTTAGGCTCTACATCTGGAAGAAGAAGATATAGGTCCAGGTAGATTGCAAAATGATAGTGTGGACAGAGGTTAGAAAAAGTACTTACCCTCTTCAGGTGAGAACACTTGTATTACTCCTGCCATCCCAGGGAAATTTTTGTTACGTGCTGTAACAGAGATGCTGTATTCTGTGTATGTTTCAAGTTCCATTATTGTATAAAAATTGTCAACGGTTGTTTTCTCAGTGATCATGGACACGTCTGCGTTAACAGGTCTGTAAGATATGGTATAACGCTCTACGCCAGTTGAACACTTGGACTCAGTAGCCTGGAGAGAAAAAAACATGCGCTAACTTTCCAAGTATTTTTATACAAGTTTATATTTTTACAGGCATTATAATTATCTTCATAAATCATCATCATAATATATTACCATCATTACCACCATCACATTCATCATCACTGTCACCTTCGTTATCATCATCATTATCATCATACAGAATTTTAAATTATCACCATCAACCTACATAAATCATCATCACGCTAAGTCATAAATCAGCATCACTCTTAATCATCTTCACCATTACAAATCACCATCACCTGCAAAATCACAGATCACCATCAACATCACCATGATTAAATAAAAAAAGATTCAAATGTGTTTACCTCCACAGACTGTTGATGCAGTTAGCTCATTACTTCCCCTTGGACCTTCACCCCCAGCACCTTCCCTGACCGCTGCTATAGCAAAATCATATTCTTCTTCCCACCGTAAACCAGTCACTGTGGCTGTAAGACTGTTGTCTTGAGGCATGTGGCTCCAGAGCCCAGATGATGAAGACCGTCTGTAATATAGAACATATCCAATAACAGGACCATCACCACCATCTCCACTACTGGTACTCCAGTTCCTCCATCTCAATTCCACTGATGATCCAGTAACCGTCAGTGAGCTTGGTTGTCCAGTATACGTTGGTAATGCTAGTTGAAAAAACGTACAATAAATTCAAAATGATTAATAATCCATTCGTTACAATCACGACAAACCACTGATATTTAACATTAATTACATAATAATACAAGATAATGCAAAAAAAAAAAAAAGACTTACCAAAGAGATTAAGTGAATGATCTGCATATGCTGTATATGGATCCCTAGCAAGTCTGCAGATATATGTAACAGTAGGATTTGCTTCACCGGTAAATGTAACCCTGGTAACCCCATTTGCTTGTGTGCGTGCAGTTTCTGCAGCAGGTTGACTACCAATAAGGAACTGGATGGTAACACCAGTCACATTACCTTGAATGTCACATTGGAATGTAGAAATCTGACCTGGATTAACTTTTGTGTTAGAAGAAGCAGAGATTCCTACAATAGCAAGAAGCAGGAATAAAATATATACAAAAACATATAAATTATGATGAAAATATATTGCCTCTTGTAAGACTGAATTTTTTAAAATAATTAATATTATTTAAAACTTGTTTGGTTCAGTAAACTAAGTCTAATTATGAGGCTTAAGGAAATTAAACAGTTTTGACAGGATATGTACCCAAGATATTAAAATGAATTAAATCATTTAATTGTCATTTATACTGGGATACATGTTCATTATCAAGCTATTGTTCTCCACACATCGTCCAGTATAATAC